GAACCTCTGATGAGTTTTTACTGCTATCCAGAGATTTCCCCTCACATCCTGGTCTGGTGACAACGGTTTTGGCAGACAAGAAGTTAGTCTATGGTGAGCATTTTATCTGCCCACTTTCTGGGTGGGTGTTGGGTTGGTCCAGCCAAGACCCCACCTCTAAATATTCAGGAACAGCCCATTGCACCTACATTATGGGTTGTCCTACTCAGACCCCGCCTCTAATTATTCAGGGACAGCCCCATTATACCTACATTAAGGGTCGTCCAGGTCAGACCCAGCCTCTAAATATTCAGGAACAGTCCATTATACCTACATTAAGGGTCATCCCACTCAGACCCCGCCTCTAAATGTTCAGGAACAGCCCATAATACCTACATTAAGGGTTGTCTTACTCAGACCCCGCCTCTAAATATTCATGGACAGCCCATTATACCTACATTAAGGGTCGTCCAGGTCAGACCCCACCTCTAAATGTTCAGGGACAGCCCATTATACCTACATTAAGGGTCGTCCCGCTCAGACCCCGCCTCTAAATGTTCAGGACAGCCCATTATACCTACATTAAGGGTCGTCCCGCTCAGACCCCGCCTCTAAATGTTCAGGGACAGCCCATTATACCTACATTAAGGGTCATTCCACTCAGACCCCGCCTCTAAATGTTCAGGAACAGCCCATTATACCTACATTAAGGGTCGTCCCGCTCAGACCCCGCCTCTAAATGTTCAGGAACAGCCCATTATACCTACATTAAGGGTCGTCGCGCTCAGACCCCGCCTCTAAATGTTCAGGAACAGCCCATTATACCTACATTAAGGGTCGTCCCGCTCAGACCCCATCTCTAAATGTTCAGGGACAGCCCATTATACCCACATTAAGGGTCATCCCCACTCAGACCCCGCCTCTAAATGTTCAGGAACAGCCCATTATACCTACATTAAGGGTCGTCCCGCTCAGACCCCGCCTCTAAATGTTCAGGAACAGCCCATTATACCTACATTAAGGGTCATCCCACTCAGACCCCGCCTCTAAATGTTCAGGAACAGCCCATTATACCTACATTAAGGGTCGTCCCGCTCAGACCCCGCCTCTAAATGTTCAGGAACAGCCCATTATACCTACATTAAGGGTCGTCCCGCTCAGACCCCACCTCTAAATGTTCAGGGACAACCCATAATACCTATGTTGGCTGTATTCAATACATTTCAAAAATATATTTCAGGATATATATATATATACATACACACTGTAAGTTGAAATGTGTTTTTTTTAAGACACATATAAAAAATATTTTTAAAAATACATTTTCAAAAATATGTCATTGAAAAAACATTGAATCTACATTTTTGGAATGCATTTACAAATATATGCTAAAATTACTTTTTTAAATGTTAAAAAAAATCTGAATAAAAAAATTAAAAAAATATATATTTTTTTAAATATATATGACTTTAGAAAATATATTTAAAAAATTTTTTAGAATACATGTTAAAATATATTAGCGTAGGCCAATATATTGTAAATATATCTCACGTTATATAATTTTTTTTAGAAATATATTGGACATATATTTCTTTTCCATGTGGGTGGGCACCCGGCCCGGTGGTGGGAATGGTCTGGAGAGCACTGCTGTGACCTCCCATAGTCGTGTTAATGATGAGACACTTCTATTGGCACCTATGGATCACAGAGTGAGATGATGTCATCGAGAGCCACTAATGATGTCATAGGCCTGGATTGTTTCTTGGATACACAGAATATAACTGGATATAACATTTATAGGGAATGTTGATCCAGGGAATATCTGATTGTCTCTCGGGGGATCAGGAAGGAATTTTTCCCCTGCAGGAACAAATTGGATCGTGCTTTGCTGGATTTTTTTGCCTTCCTCTGGATCCACTGTGGGTGTAGGATTATAACTTGTTTTAATGGTTGAACTGGATGGACTTTTCTCTTTTTTCAGCCAGACTAACTATGTAACTATAGGAAGTCAGGCTACACTGAGTAACACAGACACACGTGAGCGGTTTTTTCGTGGTGGCCAACAGCACGATCGGTTTATAAAAACTCCCCGAGGATATTGTGATTTTTGGCTAAAGTTCAAACAGTTCTGCTTATATAGAAATTCTCCTGAAAATGACATCATTTTTTACAGCTGCTTTTTACATATTTTCTCATTCGTGTTTTTTTTTTTTAAACTGCACTTCAACGCCATGACTTCCTGTGTCATACGTGTTTTCTGCACACCGCGTGTCGGGCAGCCCATTCATTTCAATGGGCTGCCCTACATGCAAGAAGCACACAAGGGAAGTCGCTGCACATTAGGAGATGCAAGGGGGTGCCATTAGGAATGAATGGCACCGCCGCGGGTCTGCTGAAGGGCAAAGCGATTCTGTGCGCGTCAGGCCAAAATGAGCAGCAATTCTTTATGAATTCAGAGAAAACCAAAGAAGCAAACCCTACAGTGCCGTTGTTCTGAAAATGCTAAGTGTCCTGACTGTCTCCGGCTTCTAAGTTTTTTTTTTTTTTAATTTGATTTTATCCGGCTCAGGGGCGGACTGACCATTTGGAAACTCGGGCACTGCCCGAGGGCCCGGGGTCAGTGGGGGGCCCCATGAGATGCCCCTGGTACCTTTTTCATAGGCTTTTTTGAGTTTGGGCAAGGACACAGGGGCCCCATGATATCCTATTTCCCGGGAGCCCCATGAGTCTTCAGTCCGCCCCTGCTCCGGCTTCAATATTTGAATCACTGACCCAGAACAAGCATGTGCCAAGTGAAGTCAGAGCAAACGCATAACCCTTATAATGTGCACTTGGTCCAGCCACTGGCTTAGAGGTCCTGAAGCTGCTGGGTCAGCAGATAGGCCAGGCGACTAGTATTTCCAGAAGGAGAGGTCAGTATTGGTGGACTCCATACTTCCGCAAGGCAGGGAAGTTCTTCGATGGGACTTCCCTCCCTGCAGGATTGGGATGCCACCTTGTGGCTGAGATGAGGAAGGGCCACCACCAGGAAGCCAGCCTGGAATTTTGGAACACTTTAGTTGACAATGTCGCAAGAGCAGGTATGAGGTAGATTTACAAGTCGTGTTTGTTGACATGAAACTTAAGAACGGAAAATATAACTAAGCAAGCAAACAAAAACCACCTCGGTGAACATGACAAGGTAACTTCCCTGGAAAATGAAAACCAGCGTAAAGACGACATTTCTGTGTTCCTTCTGCCTAAAACAACACTCAGGAGTAGAACTGATGATGGCATTGGGTGCCTCAGAGGTCAGTCCACTCAGAACCGACATATTAGAGTTGATTGCTTACTGATGGGTCTCACCGAGGAGGGTGGTGAGGCAGTTGTGCGTTCCCATCTCCTGCATTGCTTGTGCCCGTGTTCTGCCGACATTGTGAAATCTCCACACTTGAGATCCCAACCTCGTCAATTCTCAGCCGCCATTACTCGTCTTGCCGGGGGGGCTGAGACTCCAGGCCAGGGAGATCCGATTGCAAGATAAACATGGGCCCCATCCAGCTCCAAAGTCCTTGTTCTTTGGCATAAATACGATGCAAATTTTGTGTTGCATAATTCCGTGCATTTTGTTAACACATAAGTAGTCTGTGTGCTCTTGGCTCAGTGCACGACCCGGATAACAGGAAGTCATGTCAGTCCGTCTTCTGCAGAAATATTAGGAATTTGGTAAGTTTGCCAGTAGAGATATCGTAACGTCATTTCAGGATGTGATTCAGATTTGAGTCAGTGCAAATAATACCTTTGGGGGAAAAAAGTGCATAAATCCTTCGCAAATCTCCACTGGGAACTTGGTGTAAATTGTGCCAAAGGCCCACGCTGTCTTTTTGTTTACTCGGCCATGTCAGCACATGTATCTTCTGATTTAGCTGTGACTTGCCATCTCTTATCTTTGTCCGCCTTGCAGACGCGTTGTACCCACATCATTTTCCAGATAGAGGACCTAGCTGCTTGGCCTTCACCTGGACATGCCTCAGAAGCCTTTGTCACTTTTTCAGAGGTTTTCCACCAACTGCCAAATAAGGCACCCATGTAGATCTTCCATTGGTCTTCATCTGGGCATCCCATCCGAGGCCTTTGTTACTTTCTCAGAGGTTTTGCACCAAGTGCCAAATAAGGTACCTATGTAGATCTTCCATTTGGCCTTCATCTGGGCATCCCATCCGAGGCCTTTGTTACTTTCTCAGAGGTTTTGCACCAAGTGCCAAATAAGGCAGCTATGTAGATCTTCCATTTGGCCTTCATCTGGGCATCCCATCCGAGGCCTTTGTCACTTTCTCAGAGGTTTTGCACCAAGTGCCAAATAAGGCACCTATGTAGATCTTCCATTGGTCTTCATCTGGGCATGCCATGAGAAGCCTTTGTTACTCTCTCAGAGGTTTTGCACCAAGTGCCAAATAAGGCACCTTCGAAGATCTTCCATTGGCCTTCATCTGGGCATGCCGTCAGGAGGCTTGGTCACTCTTTCAGAGGTTTTGCACCAAGTGCTATATAAGGTACATACATAGATCTTCCATTTGGCCTACGCTTTGGTATGCCATCAGTCACTTTCTCAGAGGTGTTTTGCCAAGATCTTGATAGAAGAAGTACCTAGCCTTCACTTGACCATGTCATCAGAAATCTTTGCAATTCTACCAGAGGTGTTGCGACAAGTTCTTTGCCAAAAAAAGTATTTTGTTCTTTTAACCATGTCTTCAGAAGCTTGTATCACTCTCTTAGATGTCTTACACCAAAATCTTTGGAAGAAGCTCCTTTGTCTGCCTTTGTGGCTACCATGTTAGAGGACTGACACCATTTTTGTTTTACAAAGAGAGGCTCTTTTGCCTTTGTTTCCAGTTGGCCATGCCTTCAAAATCCTTTGCCAGCTTGTTAGAGGTCTTCCACCAAGATCTCCTCCCTCTTCAGCATTGCCTTGAATTGTCTCCAACCTTCCTTTGCTCCACCTCTCTGTCCTCTTGCTCAGAGTTTTATCCCTTTAGCATCATTTAAGACCTACAGCAGTCTTTTTTCTCCTGCCCAGAGCTGTCTTTGAGCCTCCATGTTGCTCTCAGTATCTTCATGTCTTCGGGAAGCCTGGTCAACCAGTCCCTGTACTCTCTGCACAGCACATAGCCCCTTACCTTCTTCTTGAAGGCATTGTCATCTGTCTGGGCCCAGCTCAGTGACTCTGGCTGGGTCGGCGGAGGCTGGTATCCCAGGATGATCAAGGCATCCTTCAGGTTCCGAAGTAAGGCCTCTGAGGCTCTTTGAGCCACCTCCAGGAGCCGAAGAAGATCAGCAGCTGTCGGGTTTAAGGAGTTCTGATCATCCAGGACCAGTTGGAAGAACTCGGAAATAGCAGAGAAGGCATCTCTGGCCTGAAGGAGGCGTTCTCCGGGGCAAAGACATCTCCACATCCTGTAGCCCAGTGCTGCAGTGGGCAGCCCTTTCTCCAACCAGTAGGGGAAGCTGAACCCAGTCATGCTGAATGGCGACCCTTGGTACTGCAGCTGTATGAGGAAACACAAGCAGAACAAGGAGTCAGAGAACTCAACAGAAGAACTTCCCTTTTTGCAAGCATGCGGATAAAACTTTGGGGACAGGACTTCCTCCTAATCCTCAATCACCTGCTTTTATATGGAGCTCAATTCTTTTCCCAGATGCCTGCACAGTGCTTGAATTCAAACTACAGCCATCCCCAACAATTTCCTGTCGGAGTTTCATATTTAATGATACTAGGAAAGAGTGTTGAACATATAAAGGGAAGCGGGGCATTAAAATGTTCCTCAATAAATTGAGTTGTAATTGTCAAGGAGGAGCCTCCTAACCAGGGGCGGACTGACCATTTGGAAACTCTGGCACTGCCCGAGGGCCCGGGGTCAGTAGGGGGCCCCATGAGATGCCCCTTGAACCTTTTTCATAGGCTTTTTTGACTTTGGGCAAGGACACAGGGGCCCCATGATCCCCTATTGCCCAGGGGCCCCATGAGTTGTCAGTCCTCCCCTGCTCCTAACTATTAGCAAAAGTACCATCATGGCTTATCTCAGTATCTATATATTAGCAGCAGGCAAGGTTCCTGTCTACCAACAAATCTGGCCTGGCACATGCAGTACAATATGCTCTTACAATCTAGTTTCAGTTGTAAGATATTACTATTTTACACAGCATTTGAAAAAATTGTACAAAAATTGTAAAGAAGTTACATTTTAAAGTTTGATGACACGCACATTGAAATTTCAGCTACATACAATCTTAGATTGTAAGCTCCCAGGATCAGTGCCCCCCTTTCCCTCTTGTATTGAACTGTATTGTTGCTGTATTGTCTCCCTTTATATTGTAAAGTGCTGAGCCAGGGGCGGACTGACAACTCATGGGGCCCCCGGGCAATAGGGGATCATGGGGCCCCTGTGTCCTTGCCCAAACTCAAAAAAGCCTATGAAAAAGGTACCAGGGGCATCTCATGGGGCCCCTTACTGACCCCGGGCCCTCGGGCTGTGCCCGAGTTTCCAAATGGTCAGTCCGTCCCTGCGCTGAGCACACTGTTGGCTCTATAGAAATCCTGTATAATAATTGAATTTGATACATTGTACAATCCAGCTTCTATGTGTGTGGCAATCTTTAAGTGCACAGTGGAGTTTAGGTCACTCACATATGTGCTCAGTATCAGCGTGGCGTTCTCGCGGTGTAGCGTGGACAGGCTGTGGATCTGGGTGATGATCTCTTCTGATGAGAGAGGCGCCGCGACACATCCTCGGTACCAGAAGCCGACACTGAGGGCCAACACTGCTGCTGAGATAAGAACAGTTCTCTATGAATACAGCCAATACTACAACCTGCACACCAAAACAGAATACACAGCACTGTCCCCTTTCATATGACATTTAAAGTGCATCCAAGTCAAAACTGGTATTTTTCAAAGCATTTTCTATTGCAGTCTGTATTTCAAATGGCAGGATTCTCCTTTTCTGTCCTGGGGACAATTGTCACCAAGATAGAAAATCCAAAACTTTACAGTTGTCACCAGTGCAAGAGGTAATGGAATAACTTAAATGGAGGCACCTGTTCTGGTGACATCTGTTAAAGAGGGAATTTAGTCACTTGGTAGAGATTTCCTCATACAATCCTCCTCACTCTTCTCCTGTATATACTGCCCATTGTCATACCCTCCACACTCCTCTCCTGTACATACTGCCCACTGTCATACCCCCACACTCCTCTCCTGTACATACTGCCCACTGTCATACCCCCCACACCCCTCTCCTGTACATACTGCCCACTGTCATACCCCCCACACCCCTCTCCTGTACATACTGCCCACTGTCATACCCCCCACACCCCTCTCCTGTACATACTGCCCACTGTCATACCCCCCACACCCCTCTCCTGTACATACTGCCCAATGTCATACCCTCCACACTCCCTCCTGTACATACTGCCCACTGTCATACCCCCACACTCCTCTCCTGTACATACTGCCCACTGTCATACCCCCACACCCCTCTCCTGTACATACTGCCCACTGTCATACCCCCACACTCCTCTCCTGTACATATTGCCCACTGTCATACCCCCCACACCCCTCTCCTGTACATACTGCCCACTGTCATACCCCCACACTCCTCTCCTGTACATACTGCCCATTGTCATACCCCCACACTCCTCTCCTGTACATACTGCCCACTGTCATACCCCCACACTCCTCTCCTGTACATACTGCCCACTGTCATACCCTCCACACTGCTCTCCTCTATATACTGCCCACTGTCATACCCCCCACACTCCTCTCCTGTACATACTGCCCACTGTCATACCCTCCACACTCCTCTCCGGTACATACCGATCACTGTCATACCCTCCACACTGCTCTCCTGTACATACTGCTCACTGTCATACCCTCCACACTCCTCTCCTGTACATACTTCCCACTGTCATACCTCCACACTCTCCTCTCCTGTACATACCGATCACTGTCATACCCTCCACACTCCTCACCTGTACATACTACCTGCTGTCATACCTCCACACTCCTCTCCTGTACATACTGCCCACTGTCATACCCTCCACACTCCTCTCCTGTACATACTGCCCACTGTCATACCTCCACACTCCTCTCCTGTACATACCGATCACTGTCATACCCTCCACACTCCTCTCCTGTACATACTGCCCACTGTCATACCCTCCACACTCCTCTCCTGTACATACCGATCACTGTCATACCCTCCACACTCCTCTCCTGTACATACCGATCACTGTCATACCCTCCACACTCCTCTCCTGTACATACTTCCCACTGTCATACCTCCACACTCCTCTCCTGTACATACCGATCACTGTCATACCCTCCACACTCCTCTCCTGTACATACCGATCACTGTCATACCCTCCACACTCCTCTCCTGTACATAACGATCACTGTCATACCCTCCACACTCCTCTCCTGTACATACCGATCACTGTCATACCCTCCACACTCTTCTCCTGTACATACCGATCACTGTCATACCCTCCACACTCCTCTCCTGTACATACCGATCACTGTCATACCCTCCACACTCCTCTCCTATACATACCGATCACTGTCATACCCCCCACACTCCTCTCCTGTACATACTACCTGCTGTCATACCTCCACACTCCTCTCCTGTATATACCGATCACTGTCATACCCTCCACACTCCTCTCCTGTACATACCGATCACCGTCATACCCCCCACACTCCTCTCCTGTACATACCGATCACTGTCATACCCTCCACACTCCTCTCCTGTACATACTACCTGCTGTCATACCTTCCACACTCCTCTCCTGTACATACTACCTGCTGTCATACCCCCCACACCTGTCCTTGTATAAGTAATACAATACATAAAACATTCAGCACATACAGGTGGAAAAAATACATAACAAGAACAATGTAAAGTTAATACTTTTCAAATTCCCTGGCACAGTCCCGTGGTTTCTCCCCTTACAGTCAGAGTATCCAAGCACCGCCACTGACACCCACCACCACAAGGCACACCCGACCACCCACTGACTGTAAAATCCCTCCATACACCTTTGAAATAGCTAAGACCTAACAAAGCCGAATCTCCAATATCATTAGAATTCTTTTAAGACTTATAGACATTTTGTGACCTGATGTGACCTGATGTATGCTAAGAGGGTAAATGTGCAATAACATGGCACAGTCTGGCTACAACCACCACTGTAAAGATGACCACATACAATGCAATCTGATTGCATGATCTCCTTCTTATCATTAATCTGCCTCTGTATCACTTTGGCTTTCTGTGCTTTGCATCATTCAGGATCTGTTGCTTTTTATCTCTCTGTCCCCAATACTTTGTATTCCTCTGTCTCCAATACTTTGTATCCCTCTGTCTCCAATACTTTGTATCCCTCTGTCTCCGATACTTTGTATCCCTCTGTCTCCGATACTTTGTATCCCTCTGTCTCCGATACTTTGTATCCCTCTGTCTCCGATACTTTGTATCCCTCTGTCTCCGATACTTTGTATCCCTCTGTCTCCGATACTTTGTATCCCTCTGTCTCCGATACTTTGTATCCCTCTGTCTCCGATACTTCGTATCCCTCTGTCCCCGATACTTCGTATCCCTCTGTCTCCAATACTTCGTATTCCTCTGTCTCCAATACTTTCGTATTCCTCTGTCTCCAATACTTCGTATTCCTCTGTCTCCAATACTTCGTATTCCCTCTGTCTCCAATACTTCGTATTCCTCTGTCCCCAATACTTCGTATTCCTCTGTCTCCAATACTTCGTATTCCTCTGTCCCCAATACTTCGTATTCCTCTGTCTCCAATACTTCGTATTCCTCTGTCCCCAATACTTCGTATTCCTCTGTCTCCAATACTTCGTATTCCTCTGTCTCCAATACTTCGTATCCCTCTGTCTCCAATACTTTGTATCCCTCTGTCTCTAATACTTCGTATCCCTCTGTCTCTAATACTTCGTATTCCTCTGTCTCCAATACTTCGTATTCCTCTGTCTCCAATACTTCGTATCCCTCTGTCTCCAATACTTTGTATCCCTCTGTCTCTAATACTTCGTATCCCTCTGTCTCTAATACTTCGTATCCCTCTGTCTCTAATACTTCGTATCCCTCTGTCTCTAATACTTTGTATCCCTCTGTCTCCAATACTTCGTATCCCTCTGTCTCTAATACTTTGTATCCCTCTGTCTCCAATACTTCGTATTCCTCTGTCTCTAATACTTCGTATCCCTCTGTCTCTAATACTTCGTATCCCTCTGTCTCTAATACTTTGTATCCCTCTGTCTCCAATACTTCGTATCCCTCTGTCTCCAATACTTTGTATCCCTCTGTCTCTAATACTTCGTATCCCTCTGTCCCCAATACGTTGTATACCTCTGTTTATAATACTTGGTATCACTCAGTCTCTCTGTTACTTTGTACCATTCTGGATCTCTGATATCTTTTTTTATCAATCTACTCTGATACCT